TTTTTTTTTTTCTTTCTTTGTTGCGTCAGATTTCGTCTTTATATTCTTTTATTTATTATTTATTATTTATTTATTATTTATGATTTTTTTTTACATTTGGGCATTTGCAGTCATACAGATAAGAAGTTCTAGTTGGGTACTGCTGCAAATATTCTAGTACCGATTCATCAGTATAGCAGTGCTTGTGATGGTTCTGTTGATAGTAAGAGTAGTGCTTAGCGGAAGATTGGTAAGGAAAGTGAGCAGGATAAGAAGTAGAAGCAATGGCTGCAGTATGATAGTGAAATGGTTGACAAGCAACCATGTATCGTCATATTTGGCTGTCCAGCAATCGCATCGCAATCAGTAAACTGTGTGTGCTTTTGTAGTTCGAGCAGGACGTTTAGCTTTGAAAAATACGTTATGGAATCTCAGATGACAGAAATGAAATCCTGTACTTTTTTATTAGTTTATTTTTCGATTTCGTCTCTTTAAACTGTCTAGATTTTTTTTATCTTTAGTTTTATATATATTTTTTTGCGGGGAGAAAAAAATATTGTTCTTTTGATACAATTTAATTAGCTTTCGTGTGTAAAGAAGAAGCACATGGAAGAAGAGAGAACAACTGGTTAAGGTTGACTATTCTTGATCAGTTTTAATAGCGGAAGCATTTTTTTTAGTTAATCTTTTTTTTTATTGCGAATTGAAAATAATAATATTTTGACTTCATATTTTTCATTATGATTATTATTTTGAAATTACTGTTGAGTATGGATTCTGGATGCTGGTTTGAGTCTTCAGTGAATATTGGCAACAAGACTGAAAGTAGGAAAAAAGTTGTACAGTTAATCATTTAGTTGATTTATCTCAGTGTTGTAATGATAAAAATTGTGACTGTATTCATCGTTTTCCCAGTGGTTTTAATGTGAAATGGACTGTATGCCTTTGGTTTCTTGGAGTAAAGTGGTTCAGTAGGGGTCGAAATTTTGTGGTCTTTTTTTTTCTGATACTAGAAAGTCTGTTTTTTGTTACTGCTCTTTGGATGCTTTCTTTCTCAGTATATTTCTTTTGAATTAATGACTGCCGAGATTGGTGGGCTTGTTCAATAGGTTGAAGATTTATATTGTTTGAAAGAAGAAACTTTAAATTAAAGGTTGAAAATTATTTAAATAAGATTTAAAAGTGTTAACTTTGGAAAACAACGGATGTGAAAACGCTCTTTAGTTTTCAGTTTTTTTCATTTCAAGATTTATTTATTTTTTACATCTCTTTTATTTTTTTCTGTGGCTTTTTTTCTTTTTGGCTGCTTTTGCAAATATCGTTTAGGTTTTCGATTAGCAATTACAATATAAGAATCGACCGATATTTTTCTATAATGTTATTATTGTTATTATTATTATTATGTCATTGTTATTATTTATGTTATTGCTATTATTGTTATTATTATTTTTTCAATAACATGTCGTCAAGGTTTCTACCAATAAGAACAGTATGAGAAGGTATGTCTTTGACTGAGAAGTTAATCAATTAATGGAGCAGTAAAAACGGATGGATGGTTGAGTAAAAAAGAACAGTTTGAAGTTAAAATTTGGAAATAATTGAGTTTTGTTTCCAAGAGACCGAAGCCATTTGGACCTATTTGTTGTTGGATGTCGAGAAGGCTTTTCCGACGAATGTGAAGTGTCGTTGGAGATCTGAGGAGTGGAGGAGGGAGGGTGGAGATGGAATGATTTCATTTAATTTTTGCTAGCTCCATTTTGTTGTCACTGCTACGCCGTAGCTGCCGGTAGCTGTTGCTCGTTATTCCAGTCTCCACATTCGTCAACCTTATCGATATGATTGGCATTAGGTCTATTTTAGCTGATTTGGCAGGTTGGCAACAGGGTAGTGACAGTCAGCTTGTAGAGAGCGTTGATAGTGTTGTGGAAAAAAAATTTGGTTCCGAAATGAGAAAAAAAAAAGGAAAGAGAAACAAGTAGGTTAAATTGCATGTCGATTATTTTCTTTCTGGAAGATTTTTTGCACATCAAATACAGCCATAATCACAACGTTCTTTTATGGGCGCCAAATATGTTACGAATTTTGAACAATATTGTCTTCAATTTACCAGTTTTTCCATTAACATTTTGCTAAGTAAACTCCTATCAATCTGTTTTTTTCGTTTTTTTTTTCTACAAAAATTTACAGTAGCTTAAAAACAGTAGTTAGTAAATGTTAATGTATGTATGTTGAGGGAAAATACAGGGTATTCAATGTGTTTTTATACATTTTTTTAGTTTATAAAATAAAGTCAGTCAATAATATCAAACACTAATAATTCTGTTTTGGACAGAGACTCATCCTTAAAATTTTACCGGCAGTGTACGTAGAAATTGGATGAGTTTGCTAAAATTCAGGCCAGTTTAAACACCTGACTGTGTTGGCACTGTTTTTTTCAAGCAAGGTTTATTGTCATCAACCCACAACCATCTTTGGAGTTTTACTGGATTACTCTGCTCCGATAATAGTCGATTTTGTTTCAGCTCAGCTCTCTATTAGTACTGATTTGTGCTTTTTCATCGCAGTCAGTCAACTAAACGATTTTTTGACGATAAGGAAAAATACCTTCCTATATTAGATAAAACTCAAAAAAAAATTTTTTTTTCACATTATCACATTAATGTTTATTAGTTTTTTGGATATTTTTTTGTGGTTGTTATACTTATATTATATTTATTTATAACTCTAATTGCCGATTTTTTTTCATTTGCTTAGAAGAAATTAATCAGATTTGGTTATGGTTTAAAAGATTTGTGAAGTCTTTCAACCAAAATGGTCACTTAATGGAACTATAGTTGCATTTATAATCTAGACTAGAAGATTGGAAGGCCAGACTTGACTTTAAGGCTGAGAATATTGCTCTGCAGTCCTCTTTTTTTTCCAGAAAAACGAAATATTTTTTTTCCAAATTATTTTAGTGATCAGGCCAATTATTTTGGGTAAAATCAATTCGTTTTCAAAAAAGCGAACCTCGTTGCTTAATTATAGTTTCAGAATTAATGGGCATGTAGTCTTTCAGCACGCGTTTTTTTTTTCTTTTTTTGTATAACATGACTTTTTTTGAGCCACAGGATTTTGAAGAAGCAGATAGATGGTAATGTTTAGAGCTTTGTTTTTTCTTGCAAATATACTCTGCGTTGGGACATTTTTACAGTGGGATTGTGAAAATGAAGTTGAGGTAGATAGAGGCCGAAATTCTGAATCTCAGAAAACTGGGTTTTCAAAAGTATAAAGTCTAGTAGTTGTGCCAGGTACTGCTACCTTTTAAATTATTTTCTTGATTCTCGTGCTTTTTTTATCTGCAGTCTGAAGTTTGATTATAGCTGTTCTGTGTCTGTAGTTTTAATAGTGAGCCTGAGATTACCGAGAAGTAATCGATGTTTTCTGAAGTCTCTTTAGACTCTTTTGCTGGTATTTATGTTTCTTTTTATTTTTGGTGGTCTTAAATGGCTATGCCGCTTTATTTTAAGTAGATTTCGTTGATGTTTTTACGCTTAAGTATTTTTAATTTCTGTGATGTTTCTTTTAAAATTTTACAACCGGAATTTACCTTGAGGATGACAAAAACCTACTCTTTTTTCTTACAGAAACCAAGACTGAATTGGACGACCATTCAAAAGGATCTCAGTGTACGAAGAAGTCCGATGGCGATAGTATGGACGAAGAGATATGCCATCTGTGTAATAAAAAATGCGTTCAACTTCACTCTCATCTTATTCAGGTTCATTTGTTTGTTTGTAACTGTAAAATTTTTTAGTTAGCAACAGTTACAGGAGGTGAAAATCGGAAAGTGAAATCAAGTACGGGTTTAAGTGACATTTGAGTTAATCGCAGATAAAGAATTTACCAGAAAAAAGTTATTTTAGTGGAGAGAAGGGACTAATTATATTTTTAGCCAAATAGTTAATATGAAAATGAAGAATCAGGGAAGTTTTTTTTTCTGAGAGATTATTTATATTTTATTGCCGGTTCTTTTTATGTTATAGAATATTTAATTCTGCTTAGTCTCCTTTGTCATTGTTGCTGAAAATCTCTTCTTTCAAAAGGTACGTAGTCTACAAAGTGCTTATAAAACTGTGTATTTCCAAAAGGAAAAAAAAAAATTGTACCCAAATAAACCTTCTGCTTTGGAGAGAAATAATTTTCGAGACGGTTATTATATTTTGACATCAAAAAATGGCATTACTTTATTGGGAACATTAGGCAACGTTTTACGATGCTTAGTTTATCTGTTAGGGTTGAACAACAAAGTTCTACCGTAAAAGCTTCGAGATAGATGCTTCAATTGTTGTTTTCTTTTCCCCTTTTTTTTGCCTTGCTTGTTTTATTACATAACTGAAGAAGACTTTTTTATGTGTATTTGTGCGTGTGCGTGTGTAGGGAAAAGTTATTGAACGATTTTAAAAACACAATTGTATCTTAAAAACTAAAACAAAAGGGCACAAATTTGGTTTAATGATGCGCTTAATCAAGCGCTATTTTTCTCATGCACTTAATGGAGCCTGCTTATAGGATCATTTAGACAAAATATACTGCCGCTCTGGCGAAGGAAAAATTTTTTAACGAAATCAGAAAGGGAGACGTAAGAGTAGTCAAAATTTATATGTTTGCGTAAAATGTCGCATAAAATTTCTTTCATCATTTTCACTAGCATTGGTTCATCGGTTTAAAACTAAGGTTTGTGTAACGTTGAGCGAAAAACAGTCAATAGGCTACACTGTGAATGCCACACTTGGGAGTAACAAGCAGTATTAACAGCATCAGCATAAGGTACCTGGAGCAGTAGTAGTTGTAGCAGAATCTTAAACTGGTATCTTAGTACAGTGTACAGATACAGTTGTTTCGGCAGTAACAGCAATAGTAATAGCGATCAACCTGCGCGACGATCACAGCACCAGTTAGCAGTCAGTGGAAAATGACTTAGTGACTGGGTAGATGAAAAAAGCTGTTGTCCTCGTTGTGTCTCTGTTTCTCTTCATCAACTGTCTCATATACTTTCTTTTGATGTGATGAAGAGCATGTCTGTGAACAAGGCGAAAAACTAGTGCTGTTGTTGCTGCTGCTACTGGTCCTGGTGTTGTTGTTGTTGTTATTGTTGGCGGTGATGGTGGTGTTGTTGCTGCTGTTGCTGCTTGCGATGACGGTGGTGGTGGCAATGGTGGTAGTAGCGGTAGTGGTGGTTATTGTGTTAGTGGTAGGAGAAAAAGAGGAAAAAAGTTTTCTAAAAGCTTTAGAACGAAAAATTAAATGCATCAGAGGGAATTTTTTTTCTGGTTGAATAAGAGAAAAGACCTGATTTTGATGGTTAATGAATTCGCCTCGTTTTGACAATTAATTTCAAACTCAAATAATTGTTCTCTCCATCTTTCAATTTGTTTTTCTCCCTCTTCTCATTCCTCCATTTTTTCCTTCTTCCCTCATTTCTTCCTGCCTTGTTCGTCCTCACTTCTCCTCTGTTTTCCCCTTCGTTGCTATTTCTGCTTCTGTGTTACCAAATTGCAAATTCAACAACCGTCAATTTTAATTTTATTGCGTTTTGAGGAATATTTGGTTTTTTTTCCTTTGTAAAACAAAATTACAATGTTTGAAAGTGACTTATGAAATAAAGTTCACATTTTTATATTTATTCACTTTTTTTTTTTGTTATTTTCGATTTTCTTCACAGATACACAAAATTGTACTTAGCAACATTGTTTTTTTGAACAGTCTCCTCCTCTTCCTGGTTTGCCAGTGAATCGCCGATACATTTTTTGCGTCTCACCCTGGCCATTTTGATGTTGATGAAAATGCTATTGTTTAAGCCCAAATTAAGTAAATCTGGGTGATTTGTGTACAATAACAATTAAGATACCGTTGAGAACGATATGAAAATGAGTTTTTTTTTTATTATTTTGTGTTATTTATGTTTTTCATGCTATTTATTTATTTTTTTTATTTTGCTTTTCGCTTTTAATTCTGTAATTTTTTTTTAGGTGCATAAAATTGCTGAAAGCGCCATTGAGCGTTTACTCACAAACGCTGGCTCCTCGAACACCTTACCTGATTCAACATCCGATAGTTGGTTTGTGTTTGTCCTGTTTTTTTTTTTTGTTTCTCTTTTATATCGTTTCGAATATAATTTTAAAAGCACACAAAAAAATGTCTTGACTGTTTAGAGCAAATGATGCTTATCCACAGACAAATTGTTGCTCTTGGTTGAGGTAACAGGTTGTTGTACTGAAGAAAGGGAAAAAATAATACTTAGTTTAGCCTGTAAATGGTACATGATGATGTATTGGCAGGGGTTGTTCTCTGTTTTCGAACAATAGATTGCCATGAAAATTGATGCTTTTTATTTGCTCTGTTTTTTTAATACATCTTAGGTAGCAGAATCTGAAGGCTGCGGCTGGCAAAACGGAGTGGTAGAGTCGGTTGTTAGTTGTTATTGCTGTTATTGGGTCAATATTTTGAATCTTTAAAGATAATAATCAAGGAGGCTGATGTCTTGCTGCTGCTGTTGCAGCTCCTTCTGCTGCTCCTCCTGCTGCTGCTGCTGTTGCTGCCTTGTTAGGTCACAATTTTGTAATAAATATTCATTAAATGCGTTCCGATGCTCTCTCTCCATCTATTCAATTGAAGCAAGCCCAATGCCTTCTCTTTATAATGCTATCATTTTTTATTTCTGTCAATTGAAAAATCTCAATATAAGTGCCTTATTACAGTAATCATATAAATGCCATAGTTCTGATTCAAGAAAAAACTTTACTCTCTTAGTTTTTTATGATTCTTCCTAAAAGAAAAAGGGAGAGAAATTTGTTTTACTTTGTCTGTAAAATTTGTTAACAGTTGACTTTAAAAAATTTTTTTTAAATATTGATTCACTAGGGAGTTTGAAAAAAATGATCTGCAAGAGAGCGTAAGAAAATATGGACAGGATTTTGATCAATTAATTT